ATTTTTATTCTGTTTTTTCCCATCTGCATCTCTTTTTTTGGTGCTGGGATAGATCACACAAATTCAAATGCCTAACACGGTGAAGTGGTTTGATTCAATAGTTGGTTGGAAAGTACTGCATTGCTAGTTTAAAATATCCTGAGAAGGAAATGGCTCCAGGAGTTAAACCCGTGGCTTTTTCCTGTCTTAACAGCGGCTAAAATAGAAAGGCCTTGGGATGGTTCTCCTGAAACTAATGAGGCTTGAGATATGGAGAGCCTTTATATTAGGAGGGGTTGACACTTTGCAGGGAAAATGCTTGTGTCAGTGTTACTGGCAGCCTGAAAAAGCAAGACTCCAAACCCCTCCCTTTGCTGGTGATGCATAGTCAATTAATGTATGGATTGGATACCTTTTTTGCATATAAGAATAAGTCCTGTTTGCACAATCCATTTATTGCTTTCTCACTCTGAATAGATTGTGCCACTGCAGTGGAGCCGTTTTATGCGTGTGTGTCTCGTTTCTCATTAATAATAATATTGAATATGTTCATATGGCGGGGGAAGATGCATTCGCCTATCCTAGACATCCTCCTGTGTCTCCGCTGATAATCATCCTTCTAGACTACACATGGCTGTGTAGGATCCATTCTTATCTCTGTTTTCCACTTCTATATCTTTGCAGGAAGTTGACTCTGAGTTGATTACTTTTTTGGTAGATCAGATTAAAAGAAGTGGCTTTTGGGAGGCGTCCTTGTGGATCCGAGCTATGGCTCTGCCAGGGTACTCTCGCCGCCAAAGACCTTACTTGATCTAGAATTCATGATTTATACAGCTTCGAAAAAATGTATGTGCTTCTCTCCCAAGGATCAGCACTTGGAAACTTGCTTTAAAAAGTAATTACTTACAGTTTAAACTGCCCCATGCCATTAAATAGTTGCAGCTATAGTTACAGTAACTGCTTTTTGAATTGCTTCAAAACTTTTAAGACACTTTGAAAAAAAAAACCACATTGACTTGTTGCTTAGCTGCCCATAAAACACACTTACCATGTATACTTGTGTATAAATTGATTACAGGTATAGGTTAAAGGCATGCTGTGAGACAAAATTATGGATATTGATAATGACCTGTGGAGAAGTCAAGGTCATTTCGCATAGAAGAGAAAGCACCACTGCTGTTTTCTCATTTAGGTATTCAAAAAGGCCAAAAGTCATGCCATGGTGGAGAGATTAGAGGGGGTTGGTTGGTGTTTTATTTAAAGTTTTCCCAAGATGGACTAAGCTCTTGCCTTTTGTCCCTCTAGGGAGAGAAGGGGATGGTTCCTTTTAAAAATTATTTCTTATGAGTTAAGGAAGGAAGGCTGAGTGAAGAAAGAGAGAGGCTTTTGAACTGTGGTGTTGGAGGAAAATTCTGAGAGTGCCTTGGACCACGGGAAGATCCAACCAGTCCATACTCCAGGAAGTAATGCCCAGCTCCTCATTGGAGGGAAGGATATTAGAGGCAAAGATGAAGTACTTTGGCCACATAATGAGAAGACAGGAAAGCTTGGAGAAGAGAATGATGCTGAGGAAGATGGAAGGAAAAAGGAAGAGGGGCCGACCAAGGGCAAGATGGATGGATGTTATCCTTGAAGTGACTGGCTTGACCTTGAAGGAGCTGGGGGTGTCCACGGCCGACAGGGAGCTCTGGCGTGGGCTGGTCCATGGGGTGACAAAGAGTTGGAAGTGACTGAACAAGTAAATAACAGTAAGAATTAACGTGTAGTACTTTGACTTGAAAATAAATCAACCCAGGTTTTTGGGTCAATTTTTAGTTCAAATTTCTAGGCTTCTACACAAGTAAATATAGTGAATAATGAGGTCAAACATCACTATAACTGAAAAATGACCGAACAAAAGAAATACAGTTACTTCTTTTTCTGTCATACACATGATTATTGTGAAAGGGGATTATTTATAAATAAATTGTAATTATTTACCAGATCTGCTTCAGAGGTAATGCATCGTTAGTGTTATATATAATCTTTAAAATATGGATCCAAATGCCATTGTCTTTTTGTTTCCATATACAGTGATACCTTGACTTAAGAGTTTAATTCGTTCTGTGACAGAGCTCTTAACTCAAAATGCTCTTACCTCAAAGTGGATTTCCCATTGAAATACTATTAATCCACACCCCCCCCCCGAATCCTCTCCCATTTTTGTTGCATGTTAACTCAAAATTCTCTTACCTCAAAGTGGATTTTCCCATTGAAATACTATTAATCCACCCCCTCCCCGAATCCTTCCCCATTTTTGTTACATGTTTTTAAATATGCACCTCTGGCGCCAGTGCTCTCTTTGGTGCTAGCTCTTAACTCAAAACACTGCTCTTACATCAAAGCAAAACCCAGGCTGAGCAAAGACTCTTAACTCAAAGTGCTCTTATGCTGAGACACTTTTAATTAGAAGTTCCACTGTACTATGAAACAGAATTAGGCTGTTTCATAGTAAAGATCTGAAGATACCAATGGGGCACAGTAGAAGTCCCACAACTAGTCCTCCTGAATTCTGTGTCCTGTGTGTTTCATATAACCTATTCTATTCCCCATAAACTAATATTGACACCTCTGAGATGTGGTGAAGAGCCATATCTCATTGGCAATGTACACAAGTGAGGTCCAGTCTCTTTCTCAGTACAGAGTGAGAGGTGGTACAATTTTGACCAAATATCTTGTTTGGTACTGAGCTTAAAGAATTTTGCCCTGAACACAGGGGCAACATTGCTAGACCAGGCTTGAATTTCTAATTTCTGCAAAAGAATGTGGATGCTCTTATATGGGGGACTAGTGTATATTTATGCACTTCTGCCAAAACACAATTTTTGTATTTGTAGGAGTGACACACATGAGTATTTCTTGAGAAGGACTGTTAGGAGCAAGAGTGAAGAATCATGCTTAGAGGAGCAGAAGTAGTAAAGATAATGGTTTACTAGTAATTAGTTCATATTTTGGGATAGTTACTGCATAACTAAATCACATTATGACAAAGCATCTTAATCACCTGGACACATATTTTAAGTAACCGTAAAAGGGAGTGTTTTACTTATTATTGAATAGTGGTAAGAAGCTGTGCCTGTTATGGTAATTACTGATTTTTTTAGGATAGAATTGCTTTAAAAAGTAGTTTTCCATTACTTTAAAAAGTTAACTATAGAAGCACTAAGAGGAAATTAGTTGTGAAGGACATGAGAAACCAAGGTGATGAGGATCAGAAGAGTTATTATTTCAAGATAGCTAGTGGAAAGGTTTTTTTGTGGTCAGTTTATTAGAAGAAGCACTATTTATTTTCTTGATGTAAAGGATAGGTATTCTGTTTGTTTTATTCAATAATGTGATACTCAAAGTGATCTGGTCTGAATGTATCTTAGTATAGAATACATTGTTTTCACCCTTATTCTGATTTTCAGGCTTTTGTTCAGTAGTGTGCTATTGCTATACAGTAGTTCTGTAGATGGCAGAACATGTATGAGGTAGTAACTAGTGTCAGCTGAGACTTGGGAAATCCAGATTCGAGCTGCACATAGCTGTTAAAATTCATAGATTTTTTTATCATGCCAGAAGCAACCTCAGATAACTGCAAGTCTCTTGGTGTGAGGGGATTGGCCGTCTGCAGAGATGTTACTCAGGGGACGCCTAGAAGTGTTACCATCCTGTGGGAGGGAGGTTTCTCTCATGTTCCTGCATGGGAAGCTGGGGCTGACAGATGGGAGCTCATCCTGTCTCGTGGATTTGAATCGCCAGCCTTCAGATCAGCAGTTCAGCCAGCACAAGGGCTTAACTCATTGCGCTACCGCAGCACCTAACTCATAGGTGGTCTTGGGTCAATCATTCTTTTATACCAATGGTTCCCAACCTTTCTTTGACCAGGGCCCACTTGATCAGGTCCCACTTTGACCAAGGCCCGCTTGACCAGGGGCCACTTTGACCAGGACCCAGTTGACCAGGGCTCACTTTGACCAGGGGCCACTTGACCAGGGGCAACTTTGACCAGGGCCCACTTGAACAGGTCCACTTTGACCAGGGCCCCTCTTGAACAGGGACCACTTGAACAGGGACCCCTTTGACCAGGGCCAACTTGAGCAGGGACCACTTTGACAAGGGTCCACTTGAACAGGGACCGCTTTGACCAGGGCCAACTTGAACAGGAACCACTTTGACCAGGGACCACTTTGACAAGGGCTCACTTGAACAGGGACCCATTTGACAGGGCCCAACTTGACCAGGGACCACTCTCCAACATTAGTAACAAAAGGGGCGAGGCTGGTTTGGTCTGCGGAAAGGAGCAGAAATAAAATAAATAAAAGAGTAAGGAGGTTCGCGGACCAGATTTTCATTCTCGCGGCCCATGGCAGGGCCGTGGCCCCCAGGTTGAGAACCACTGTTTTATACAGATGTTTGAAAGGATAAAGTGGGTATGAATAGAGCCATGTATACCCTTTGGAACTCATCATAACTATTAAGTAATGAGTAATTCATGATGGCAGCAGTTTACCTTGAGCTTTTGGTGAGCGGGATATTAGTGAATAGTTATTTTATCATACCCGGGGCCAAAATTTGGTGTGAATTTAAGGACATTGCAGTTATGCATGCTGATGGTACTCTATAAATAAATCAAATATTTGTATTGATGTAGCCTTTAAGTTTGAAACACACTTTTGTTGTATTCTGTCAGCAAGAGTTGCGTGGTACCATGTTGTAGCTTTTTTTTTTGTCTCTGGCAAGTTGGTAAGCCTTCCAGCTCTGTCTAATGAGCTCATGAAGGAAGCAAGGGAAACGGTGTGTTTATGCTGCTATTTAGAATGAATGCATTGGATTTAAAAGACTATGGCACCAGCAAAATGTACTCACACCTTCCCCCTCTTTTCCCCTTACCAGACCCAGCATGAATACTGAGATGGGTGTCAGCTGGAGTGGGCTGGGTCACGGAGGGGTGGGGTGGGGCAGCGATGGCCTGATAGCTCACAGCAGCTGCAGGGCTGTCTGTGCAGAGCGAGCGAGCGAGGCTCTATTCTCTTTCTGTCTGCCTAGCTGTCAAGTCGCAACCCAGTCTCTCTGATTTGCAACCATCTCGTTCCCATAGGGCAGAATTTGCTGCCGCCACTCCTGTGTCCTCTTCCTCCTGCTCCTCCACTTCTCCCTAAGTAATTAGTTTTCTCTTTGCTGTCTCGGGGCTTCCCCCTTGTTGTTTCCACTTGCTGTAGGAAGAGGGACGTGGTCTTATAAGGCCAGTGGTTGTGTTTTTCTTAAGTGTGTTTGTATAAAGCTACCTGGCGTGCCTGGACTTGGAAATCAACCTTTTGCCCAATGATATGTGAGACCGAGAGACTTGAACGAGAGCAACTTTTTCAATAGTGGGAAGAACAAAATACAAGCAAGTAGACTTCCTGCTGAAGTTTAAAGTGCAGTTAAGGAAGAAACTGTGTTTTTCTGTTCAAAGAGCCTGGATGGAACTGAACCAACCTGGCACCAGGAACTGAGATTCAGCTTGAAAGCCTTTCTCTTGCAGCAACCAAAGTTTGCTCCGATCTTTCATCTTTGCTGTCTCTGAGCCAGGAATTTTCTCTCTGGAGAGTGGAATGGTGGAAGAAGGTACAAGCCGGGGGGACCGGGCTCCCCGTGGTGGCGGGCCACGGGGATCCCCACGCCCTCCAGCCCCGCCGCACCATGGTATCTCAGTGGTGGGCAAAGCTGTGTGGAGTGTGGCACGGACAGGGAAAGGCTGGTGCTTTGAGCGAGCAGTTGGGGTGGACTGCAGCTTGCCTGAACCTCGTTGCATCTGGTTGACGAGTTTGAGAAATGACAATGTGGAGTGGTGGGAAAGACGGTGGCGCCGTGCTGGGGCTGTGATGGCCCGGCAGAAGTGCCGAGCACGACACAGGATGGACAGAAATTTTACGGTGAGAGGAGCATATCGTTCTCTATGTGTTACATGTGTTTATAGACTTGTGTGTATATTTGTGTATATATGCATATATGTGTGCATGTGTTACTTATCAAGATACTATAGGGAAATTATTTGGACAAATCGTTCCTTCTATACCCCCCATAAGCTAGTAATACTTGTGATGAATAAGTTATGAATTATGCTGAAGTCATTGTGATAAATACTAGATGCTTTACCCTGCAGAAATAGACAGTTACTGACAACAAATGTTATTGTTCACACTGTAGAAGTCACTGATAATTCCATTCAGTATATATTCCTTACCTCCCAGAGTGTGATGAAAAGTAATTCAAAAGAGTTTGAGCATATATGAGGATTTTTCCCCTTACTAATAAGGAATCACAGGCAGCACCTCTACTTCTGAAATTTGGAGTGGAAGAGTTAGCCTTTAGGCCAAAGTATGCAGCTTCCAGAAACGGTTGTGATCTAATATGTTCTCTTAGTAGTTAGGAATATTCACTTTCAGTCTCCTTGCAATTATCCTGTATTTCTCAGGGGATCATTCAAAAGGAGAGCAAGGTTATAGAAACTTTGGCCAAAGTATGCAGCTTCCAGAAACGGTTGTGATCTAATATGTCCTCTTAGTAGTTAGGAATATTCCATTTCAGTCTCCTTACAATCATCCTGAATTTCTTAGGGGATCATTCAAAAGGAGAGCAAGGTTATAGGAACTTTGGCCGATATGACGTAAATAGCCTGTATATGAACAGCCATTCAAACAAGAGTGGACTACTACATGTTGGAATCTAGATACCATTGTATATAAAGAATTAATCACAGGCTCGCTTACAGACATAGTTTCCGGGATATGCAACATGGGAATACTTCACATAGCTGCACACTAATGACAGCTTGCCCTCCTTGTTTGTTTCCTCATTAGATAAAGATATTTCTTCACTAGGTAGAGATTGCATACTCGTCAAGTACAAGATCCTCAAGTTGCCATAAAGGCCTAACGTTGAAGCCTTAGAAAGTTGGACCAAAACCTGAGGAATGTGGTTTCAAATCAACGTGCCCTGAATATTTTATATTTATATATGCTTGTCAGTTATGTGTGTGTACAAATATATAATATATAGATGTACATATTAATTTTTAATGTGTAACATGTCTATCTTGTCCTTCTTAAGAGGTCAAGAGTAGCTTATATGGAAGTTTATCATATTTTACCCTCACAGTGTTCCTGTGAGGTGGTTTGGCAGAGGGAGAGCCAAGGTCACTTGTTCTTGACAGCTAAGTGGGAACTTGAACTTGTATTGCAGGCATAAGAGTACTTTGCATTTCAAAGAAAATGGCATGAAATTATATTCAGGAAACCCCTTCAGTGATGGAAAAATCCGGGATTTTGCTACTTTGAATAAATCATATAACCATAGAGTTTGTAGACCTACCTAGATCTAGCAATTGCTAGTGCAAACAATCACAACTAATGCATTCATGAAAGGGATGTTGGCCAAAGATTCAGGACACTTGTCTCCAATACACAAACACACAATTGGCTTATAGAACTCACTGTCATTTACTTCTAAAAAAAGAAAGAATGAATTTGTATAAATTCAGGGTGAATATATCTATGAAAATAGCACTAATCATAGCAGATAAATTGTTATAGAATGTGTCAAGCATATCTTAGCTATCATGAAAACCTGAAACTTCTCAGATGATAACTAACTTTGCCAGGAAGTCGAATTTCCTAGCCAATTCCATACTCTCCAGATACTTACTTTCCTTTCTGGATAGGTGATAGAAGAGAAGGAAGAGAAAGCGACTTCCAATTGGGGATCTCAACTGAGATAGTTGTGAGGGGTGAAACACAGTGGTCTCAATACCTGTAAAAAGAACAAGGCGAGTATTGTGTCCTCATTGACTCAGAAAGTTGGTGACTCCCAGGACTAGTTAGACGTGTCAGAACTCTGGGTATTCAGTATTGTTTAACACCAATAATAATAATAATAATAATAATAATAATAATAATAATCTTTATTTATACCCCGCCACCATCTCCCCAGTGGGGACTCAGAGTAGCTTACATGGGGCCAAGCCCAGACAACATATTACAACAAAATAAAACCAAAACATAAACAACAAGCAACATCATCAAAATTACATAGGGGAAAAAAACATTTCAATAAACACAGTTACGATAACAATGGGCGAGCCACATGTACAGGATTTACTCAGCTGTATTAGGTGAGCATACCTACCATGGTGTCCAGGTTGAGAGGAGATCAGATATACTTTGCATGTCCTCATTTTGCACAACCCCTCCTATTTTACATAGGTTATTCCTCAGGGTGTTTAAAATGTTTTAGACAGTTTTCTCCTGCTTTTGTTTGTCTTGGAACAGGCAAGAAACTGCAGTGTGCAAAGCCCCACTCCCTACCACTGCCTCTCTGTTCGCCACCCTGCAGACTTCTGACATTCCAGGAGGCATTTTTCCAGCCTATGATCAGAGCCATGAAGGTTGCTCTATTTTAGGGGGCTGCAAGAGAAAATTAAGTGCTTTTTTCTGCATGTAATTACGGTGTACTACAGTGAACAGCCCATATCTTATCTTTGTCAACTCTATCCTCTGTACTTTAGAAAACACATGATTTTCTCCCTCTCCAGCGAGCACAAGGATTAACAATATGTCATTAAGTTGAGTAATTTAACTTAAAGTAATGTTTTTATCATGATGTGTTCGTGTGTGTTTATTTAATACTTTTATGCTTCTTGTTAACCAAATAACTTGGGGATTATAGCCATTGGGATAGAGCTATTGCAGTCAAGTTTTGGGAATCAGCAGGAGGAGGCACAATGCCAACCTCTTTGCTTTCTGAGTTTGCTGCCAGTCTTTTATGCTGCCTGTTGACCTGCTTAAGCAGTGATGAGGAGGAATCCCTACACATTTTGTCCTCTGGTTCTGTAGGTAGTGGTGGGCATCAGGCTCAGAAGTCAGGGCAGGAAAAGGATGGCAATGTAATGGAGCTAGTCAGGCAAACAGGGCCAGAGTTGCGGACATTGTACCCCAGGGCTCTTCAAAACCCAAATCAGCACTGACCATGAGTATGTTTGTCTGTCCCTTTCTGTTCAAGAGATTCAATTAGATGAATAATTTTTCCAAAGTTGTAGTTTCGAAAGCATGCTAAATAAAATAACATTCCTTATTAAGACTTTTAAAACCCTGGCCACCAAATAGTAACCTAGAAGGAGAGTGGGACTTATAGAAGGTGCTCAGTCTTCAAGTTTTTGCAGGTGAAATTAGTTGTCTTTTGATGTCTTTCTTTCTCTTAGGGCCCTTCCAGACAGACCGTATATTCCAGGATCTGATCCCAGGTGTTCTGTTATCTGGCAGTGTGGGCTCATATAATCCAATTTAAAGCAAAAAATAAAATAAAATAAAAATCTGGGATGAGTTCTTGTGATATTGGGCCTGTCTGGAAGGGCCATAAGAATGCCTTTCTGTGTGTCCTTGCTGTTTAGTCAAGTTCAAGTCCACTTTATTATGGTCAATGACCAGCTCATGAGAAAAGGGGCACCGTCCCGCACAAACACATTGCTGCTTAAATAGGTGCAATGGTCAAGTTGGATTGCTTGGAAAAAGGTGTGCCATTAGGGTACCAAGCTAGCAAAGTGAACAGGCAGTTTCCCAAGACCTTAGTGAGCAGCAGTTTGAAAATACATACAGCAATTCAACACTGGACATTCCATAGATGGCTGGACCTTGGAATAAGATAATATTACTCTTATTTTATCCATGTTCTTAAAATCTGTCCATTGGCTACTACAGTGACCTTTGTGTTTTAAGAGCAGTGAATGTTGATTGATTGTTACATAGCGCCATCTATGTACACAGGCCTTTATCAAGAATAAGGGGTCGGGTCCCTTTGGTACAATTGAAAGATGGACACAACTACAGAGGAAGAAGTTGGAAGTAGAGACAAGAGTAAGATGGCCACAGTATATTCAGTGTCTTACAAGTGATTGTGTTTGAAATATTGATACAAGGGCCATGTATGGCAAGGAGAATTTTGTTTGAGACAGCCAACTAAGCTTCGCCAAACCTGAGATGTGTTGGACTATCCTTCCTATAATTCCAGATGATATATTTTGCTAAACCAAAGCTTCAATCCTTGTATTTTCAGGTCCCACAGTCCATCATAGATCGCTGTCAAGTCTTGCATCCTGCCATTTGTAGGGCTATATTTGTTAGAGCACTTCTTTCTCTCTCTATGTTGCTCTCTCAGCCTTTCTCTGGCTCTTTCCCTCTTCTCAGTCATCTTCAAAGGGATTAATATCTCCCATTTTCCAGGGGTCTGAATTAAGAGTTTTTGAAGGTGTTTTGAAATTATGTTTTGAGACTACAGGTTGGCTAATCTTGCAGTAGATCATAGTAGTATAGTGGATTGCTATTTATCCGTTACCCGGGACTTTGGACAGATGTACCAGTGTGATATCACTTGTGTGAATATTTTGATAAGACCTTGTGGTTGATGGTAACTATAGCCTATCATCATCTTGTATATTTTGGATCATATTTGCACATTGACATGGCAGGTGTAGGATAACGGATTTTGGGTTACTAATACCAAGGTTATATTTGTCATTTTTGCAGGAAACACTGAGACAATCTCTTATGTGGTACAAGCATGGTCAATGTATCAGAAGTAGTTTGCTCCTTTATAGCAAATTGGGATTAATCCATCTAACCCAGTGATTCCCAACCTTTTTTTTTTTGACCAGGGACCAATTTGACCAGGGACCACTCTTCAACATTAGTACCAGAAGGGTTACAAATCAGTTTTTGGTCAAATGATTTGGTTTGGTTATTTAGAGTGCTGATTCAGAAAATTGCATTGGATAGACCACATCAGCAGTAGTTTCTGATACGGAATATATGCCATCCAATAGTTGCCATCTGCTCGCCCACAGAAAGCCATATTTAATAATATAGAGTTGATGTGGTAGTAA